GAGGAGATAGCTTCGACAAGTTTAATATGATTTACTATAGGACAAACGTTACATGTAGCTGTTCATCACCAACAGCCAGTTTCTATGGTAACTGACAGTGTCACAATCAGGTGACTATAATTTACTTATAATGTGATTGAGGCTGCTTGTTATATGTACCGAAATCTGTTGCTGACGATATTTTATTGAAATATTCACGTTCGTAATTCGTCGCGAATCAAGCAAAAATTTGATGCACGTAAAATGTTGTTACATGGCATGATAGTGTTGTTATTCTGTAAAATGTTGATTGATGTGAAACCCTATTTGTCATGTCGGCAATGATTATGTATAACAATACCATACAGTTAATACATCGACATTCACACACTTCTTTAGTAGACATGGTAAACTTGTTATCGACATGTAAAGATGTAATACGTCTTCAAGCTGCCAACCAAAAACATCAAGAAAATACCAACATGTCAACATAATCATATTCCGATCTCAAATTTCATAAAACTTATGCAAAATATGAACAAAAGAAAGATTCACACGGAGTCATTTGAAAGTGTACGAGGAAAATAAGATCAGCTATTCCGTAAGGGTAAGCGCCTTCTGCTTCATCGACGACACCCGCCATGTAAAACATATCCTCCGTCTTCAACACAGAAATAACATGACAATATAAAACGACAGCTTGTGTACCAATTGTTTAAACATATACAACATGTACCACTTGTACAACCCCAAAATATACCGAATAGGTTATCATTAAGGTTGATAACACTTCTTATTTGTTATCAATATGTATACGAGGCACAATAAGTAAGAACGAGAACATACAACTATATTTCTCTGTCAGGAGGCACAACCTCATTCATATAATATTGTAGTGTGCTCTGAAAATGTCATAAAAGGTGACAGGAAATGTGGAGGCGTTTCACCTCTTCACAAAGACAATTACCTGGAGTTCTAGTTTGGCATTTTGCCATGAGAAATAGTATTTCTGTCTGGTCATACAAAGTGCAACTGAACAAAACTGTCAGTGATGGTAACCTAAGAAATCGTATTTATCAATCTATACTTTCTTCATTGCTTACTCCTCATTCGCAACTTGTTTTCTTTGAAATAACGATAATGCCTTCCAAACAGTATACAACAATGACATCAATGATTGCTGACAGATACCCAAAATTGATAAAATATCAAAATGTCCAATTCAACGTTCCGCACATTTCTGTTAATTATACCGCACCTCCACGTATTGAATTTGACTTTTCTTTTGATCAGTTTGGATTTGCCCAAGTCGCCTCCTAGGTTTCAAAATTTTAGCATCACTGACGAGTCCTAGAAGGACGAAATGGTGCACTTTAATTCATTGTTTGGCTCTACTGTTTCTCGCTCTAAATTATGAAAATCTTGATATCAGATATGTACTTACGGATCTAGGACTGGTGTCAGATTCGATCATTAAAGTTGGTGCTATCATACAATAAATATGAAAATGTTTTATTTCTCGATGATTTTTATAAATTGTTTACGATAAAGAGGTTAAAACCTAAGGTGATACCTGCCTGATAATTTCTCCGAAATATTCCTATTTTTTTTTACTATATTTTTTCGTGGTATTGAACCCACAAATTCTTGTACCCACTTTTTTTCATTTTTTTTTTTTTTGTGAGGAGTGGGGGAAAAGGGGTGGATATATGGGAGAGGGGAGGACCAAGCCATTTAAGCCCCATGAGAAAGTATCTGGTGTTCAAGTATACTGTTTTTTTTATAGTTCTAATTCAAATCGCCCGTATATCAATCATTATGTTTTTAGGTAAACAGTTATACTGGATAACTATGCCAGAAGTTAATTTAAAACTTATTTTTCTCTTTTAACATCCTATTCATACATCTCATTTTTATCTCCTCTAATTTTTCCTCTTATAGTTTATATTGTTGATTGTTACTGTTGAACACACAGATATATATATATATATATTGTCATGCACTGTTTGTAGAGCATGACGAAGGTTAACACTTATTATCGACACATCCAGAGACTTTATTGATGTAGAATTACTTACAGCGATAAAGCGTCTGTCTCTCACCTTCTGTCAGTGGGGCATTATAAATCATATATGATGTCCATTCTGCCACCACACCGTGTTACCAACAATATTACCGTCATGTGTAGAGCATTTTCCTGACAGATAGGTCACTTAGCATATCTGTCTCTCTATTCTAGGAATGAAATAAAACTTCATTTTTTTCATTTATTGTATTTTGTTATTCTGTATTTAGTGTGATTTATATTGTGAGTCTCTAGCTTTAGAAATATAACAAATTCCATTTGCTGCATTTAGTGTTGTGGTAGTTTATGCCATTAATAAGCTTATTGTCACTTAACATATATATAGTCTTATATTAGGACTGAAATAAAATTCAGTTTTGCCGTCAAAATGCATTTTTGCAGTCAATTTGCATTTTGCAGTCAATTTGCATTTTTGCTTAATATTATATAGGATCAACATTTGCATAGAAACTGTTATCACTTAGCATATATGTCGTATTGAGATTGAAATAGAAGAAAATCCTTTTTTCTGATCATTTTTTAAATTTTCGTTTGGTTTATTTATTTGTGTACACGATGAATGTATTTAGATACCGAGTGTAGTGTGCATAGTGGCTACGTTATATCTTTTTATCTTAATATTTCATTCAGAACCAACATCCGATATGAATCATCATTTGAAGGCATTATACAAGAATTTCGGTTTGAATGAAAACGTATAATGATGTTGTAATTTATTATACTTACCTGGGACATCTTCATACGTGTATATTAACGTCGTCATTTACTTGTTCTCGTACACAAATAATTGTTTATTAAAATCAATACCGAAAAATTGAATATCATGGTAAATAAACAATTAACAGAAGAATTAATATAAAAATTTGAATTGAACTGTGAACTTCGATATAAATGTATCTGATATAACTGAACCGTCAAGAAACTGTACAAATATAGATTGATATATATGTAAAATAAATCCAACCAAAATCGCCAATTCACAAGTCGTAATACATTAATGTCTTTTTGGTAAATCATGCAGGTTTTAATGTTATTCAATGAAAACTATTTATCTAGTCTACGTTTATAAAGTACATTTTTTAAATATTTCAGTGAAGGATCAAATATTGAAGCAAAATAAATAAATTGTTCATGGAAATAGTACAACACACACACAAATAGATTAAAACAATTTAGAAATATAAAAAGTAAAAGGAAATAAATGAATTTAACTTCTAGGACTCGTCAGTGATGCTACATCGTACAACTGGTTCGTCCTTCTAGGACTCGTCAGTGATGCTACATCGTACAACTGGTTCGTCCTTCTAGGACTCGTCAGTGATGCTACGTCGTACAACTGGTTCGTCCTTCTAGGACTCGTCAGTAATGCTACATCATAAAACTTGTTCGTCCTTCTAGGACTCGTCAGTAATGCTACATCATACAACTGGTTCGTCCTTCCAGGACTTGTCAGTAATACTAAGGGTACAGCATGCGGTTGATGAAAATCAAAAGTTCGAATCTTGATTTGGAGTTTTACTGGCCCAATAATTCAATTCAGTTTTCATATCTCTGATAATTCCCGAAGATTGTAAAGTACATTTGTATATTCTGAACCTTAACACTAAGAATTAAAATGTAGTTGTGATGCTATGATCTACCCTATTCTGTTTACTATTTTTAGTTTTCGTGTTACACATCTTCCGGGTTTCCATTTAAACCTCAAAATTGAATACCCTGAAGAAAACCCCACTTTAGTAAACAAAACCAATATCACTGGATATTTAGTGATATCTAGTGTATATTTATATATACATAAAACCGCCAGCGAAGATATGTTTTGTTTAATTTCGACCCGTCAATTGAGTCATCCTTCTGTACTTTAATTATCTATATATCTGTATATTTATGTTCACTGATAGCATATGAGAAGGGATGAGAATAAATCAGATATGAATTATTGCGGTTTCGCCTTTTCCAATCATCGTCATTCTTAAAAATTTCTCCTCTCTTTTTCGGAAGTACATTTTCAATATACTGTAAAGTTGTTGATATTTAAGTGGAATCTAATCTCGTTATATTTACGGCCGATGAAGATTGCGCGAAATACCCAGTGAATGAAAATCTCCAAAACAATTTGCCTTTATAGAAGGACACCAGATCACAGACACGTGAAAAATTCAAAACCCGTGCACTTGTCCATACCTTAACACACACGAAATGTTATAGAAGCATACTTTATGCTACTCAGATCAAAAGATGCACGGAATATAGAGAGACATCAGTTTCCTATGTAGCTGACCAGCGGTCAGTACAGAGGGAGTGGTCATTTAAAGCTCAGTCATCAAGAGATATACACAGGAGTCCAGCCACCTTGAGGCTAATGATAAGATGTAAACATGTATACTTAGAACACTAAGGCCAACTTAATTAAACTTTTGCTCTACATAGTTAAACAGCAGGTGCACCAGGACATATGCGCATTAACGTACTGACACCTGCGTTATCAATTTAACATTTTAAAGTACATTTTAGTCAGTGGTCTTACACGATATAACTCACGTTAAGCTTTGGTCAGACTTTACTCATAAATTTCCTCACGATAAAATAGCAACATACGGTAGAAAGGTTTCTTCGTGACAGACATATTATATAGATAGACTAAAAGGAGTCCTGGAAGGACAAAACAGTTGTAGGATGCAGTTTAATTAATTGTATGGCTCCACTGAATCTCACTTTAACAAATTAAAAGGTGTTATATACTTCTGTGTCTTTTGTATAAACTCTAAGATAGCAGCATTCTATCATTGTGTATATCGTCAGGGTTTCAGTTTACTTGACCAGAATGTCTCCTTGGCTTATCGAATTATATGCTATAGATTATATTATGTGTTAAAGATCGTCTTTTCAATTTATTTTTTTATTGACATTAAAAGTATCAAATTACTTTTTCCAGGCGGGCGGACCGTAAGCATCTTAGGACGTCGGATGGTAAACATCGTGGAATCCTCTAATCGTGTCAATGAATATATTGGCGAATTAAAAGAAGAAAATAGTGATTACATCGTAGAAGTCCTAATTATGATTGATTACAGTCTCTACAAAAAGTAAGTTCACTTCCGTGACAGGGGTTTTACATCATTATGATGCAGACTTTACTAAAACGTCGGCTCTGTTCTCCAAAATATATTTATACTTTTTTCTCGTTCGTTTATATGTTGTACTAACGATATTCAGTTGAAATGTCGATTTTTTCCTTTGTTGTTCTCAAACTAATTTTTTCAAATTTATCCTTGTAAATCTTTCTTTGGTTCATATATTGCCCTCGTTGCAATACCTTTTTTGTCAGTATATAAAAAGTTGCTTTTTGATTTATTCAAGAAAATCCTTAGGAACCAGTGGACACTTATGTATACATACTCAAAATTCATATTTGTCAAATCGTGATAACATGACATACTCAAAATTCATATTTGTCAAAACTTGATAACATGACATACTCAAAATTCATATTTGTCAAAACTTGATAACATGGCATACTCAAATTCCATTTGTTATAAATGTGATAACATGACAACTCAAAATTCCTATTTGTCAAAACTTGATAACATGGCATACTCAAAATTCCATTTGTTATAAATGTGATAACAGGACAATTCAAAATTACTATTTGTCAAAACTTGATAACATGGCATACTCAAAATTCATATTTGTCAAATCGTGATAACATGGCATACTCAAAATTCATATTTGTCAAATCGTGATAACATGGCATACTCAAAATTCATATTTGTCAAATTGTGATAACATGGCATACTCAAAATTCATATTTGTCAAATTGTGATAATATGGCATACTCAAAATTCATATTTTTCAAATTGTGATAACATGGCATACTCAAAATTCATACTTGTCAAAACTTGATAACATGACATCCTCAAAATTCCATTTGTTATAAATGTGATAACATGACATACTCAAAATTCATATTTGTCAAATCGTGATAACATGACATACTCAAAATTCATATTTGTCAAAACTTGATAACATGACATCCTCAAAATTCCATTTGTTATAAATGTGATAACATGACATACTCAAAATTCATATTTGTCAAATCGTGATAACATGACATACTCAAAATTCATATTTGTCAAATCGTGATAACATGACATACTCAAAATTCATATTTGTCAAAACTTGATAACATGACATCCTCAAAATTCCATTTGTTATAAATGTGATAACATGACATACTCAAAATTCATATTTGTCAAATTGTGATAACATGGCATACTCAAAATTCATATTTGTCAAATCGTGATAACATGGCATACTCAAAATTCATATTTGTCAAATCGTGATAACATGACATACTCAAAATTCATATTTGTCAAAACTTGATAACATGACATACTCAAAATTCATATTTGTCAAAACTTGATAACATGGCATACTCAAAATTCCATTTGTTATAAATGTGATAACATGACAACTCAAAATTCCTATTTGTCAAAACTTGATAACATGGCATACTCAAAATTCCATTTGTTATAAATGTGATAACATGACAACTCAAAATTCCTATTTGTCAAAACTTGATAACATGGCATACTCAAAATTCATATTTGTCAAATCGTGATAACATGGCATACTCAAAATTCATATTTGTCAAATCGTGATAACATGGCATACTCAAAATTCATATTTGTCAAATTGTGATAACATGGCATACTCAAAATTCATATTTGTCAAATTGTGATAACATGGCATACTCAAAATTCATATTTGTCAAATCGTGATAACATGGTATACTCAGAATTCATATTTGTCAAATCGTGATAACATGACATACTCAAAATTCATATTTGTCAAAACTTGATAACATGACATCCTCAAAATTCCATTTGTTATAAATGTGATAACATGACATACTCAAAATTCATATTTGTCAAATCGTGATAACATGACATACTCAAAATTCATATTTGTCAAAGCTTGATAACATGACATCCTCAAAATTCCATTTGTTATAAATGTGATAACATGACATACTCAAAATTCATATTTGTCAAATCGTGATAACATGACATACTCAAAATTCATATTTTTCAAAACTTGATAACATGACATCCTCAAAATTCCATTTGTTATAAATGTGATAACATGACATACTCAAAATTCATATTTGTCAAATTGTGATAACATGGCATACTCAAAATTCATATTTGTCAAATCGTGATAACATGGCATACTCAGAATTCATATTTGTCAAATCGTGATAACATGACATACTCAAAATTCATATTTGTCAAAACTTGATAACATGACATCCTCAAAATTCCATTTGTTATAAATGTGATAACATGACATACTCAAAATTCCTATTTGTTATAAATGTGATAACATGACATACTCAAAATTCCTATTTGTCAAATCATGATAATATGTCATACTTTAAATTCATATTTGTTGTAAAGGTAATAACATGAATATTTCGAGTTGATATCTTAAAGTCTTTATTTTCGGTAGATTTTTAGACAAAGCAAACGGGCAGGACGGCGAGGCTCTGACCCAACTCCGATACTATTTCGCTCATATAGTTAACGGGGTAAGTATGGGTAAATCACCTATCGCCACTGAACAGTTTTACTGTTTAGTTCATATCAACTTAATTTGTACATTAAATCCATGTCAAATATTAAGTTTAATTGCGGATACATATATTGTCTATATGGTTTGGACATTTTGAAACAGATATCAATTGCTGTTAAACATCACATTATCGTGTCCTTACAGAACACAAAATTAATAACAATATATATATATATATATATAGTATCGTATTATCATCATGCGTAAGATAGCAGTTCCCTTTCGGTGACAAGAATGATGTATTCTGACAGTAATGTTGATTGTACACGTATTCGTTTCAGATGGATCTTCGATATTCGTCAATAAATAACACAGATTTTAAAGTGTCCATTAGATTAGCGGGGTTTTTTGTTGCAAAAGTAAGTATCCGACATTTTAATAATACTGTCCTGTTTTAATGGTGTTTCGATAGAACGTGTATGAATCAGATAATACCTGCTAAATAAAATGAAACACAATGATGCATGTTTACTTCCTTTATTTAAATGATTAAATACAGAAAAAAAATTGTTTCGATTTTAATACAAGTTTCACTTTGTTTATCTTTTCATTCATATTATGATTATTTATAGAACAAAACAGACCTTCCCTTTGTACTGACCTTCCGGCAAGGAGGTGATATAAGGTCAAAGGTCGATGGGAGTGCTACACTTCTGGGACTGACGAACTTCCTAAAAGGGAAGCCAAATTTGCCCCACCATGATCACGCCATGTTGTTTACTGAGTAAGTCACGTAATATATAACATAAATATTTACATATTTTAACGGTCGTCACAATGATCTCGATAGCATTAAACAAATCCTGATGACGTTGAACGTATTTGATCTTTATAATAACATATGTTGGTTCCGTTATTGTTTACATTAATCACCTTGGGAACGTGACATGTGACATTGTTTACTAGAATTGATGAAGATTTACATTCTGGGTGTCGTCGATGAAACAGAAGACGCTTACGTTTCCAGAACACATGATCTTCATGTACCTTTTTCAGGAGTCTCTCTATGTGAATATGTCTTTTTCATAGTTTTACCTAGTTTTATTGAATTTCCGTTTTATGAATCTGTTGACATGTTAAGTAGTATAAGACAAGTAATGGGAGACTTGAATGTTCAGTTAAACGTAACATTGTCATGACAACGAGAAGAAAGACATCGACATTTTAGCCTAGATGATATTAAAAAAAAAGTTATCGCCTCTGACGATTTACGGAAACATGAAGGAAACAAAACGATTTTGTCTAAGTTGTCGCCATTGACAGCCAATACGGGTTTGAAAATCCTTACGTTCTGTTCAGAGTCTTTCAATGAGACAAAAATGATCGGTTCTCCCATTAAATTCTGTATATTATTTTCAAAGCTCTATTGTTCAGTTTTCTTTTCGTTAATTCCGAAGTTTCTTGTCTTCCTACACTTTGTAATGACCATGGACATTTAGAATATGAAAGACAATGAGAACTCGAGAGCGTATTTCCAACCTAGATAGGTCGCTAAACATGAAAATGATAAGTTTATGTGATGTATACAATGTATGGTTATTATGATTTCTCTGTTTTATTCAGGCATGACGCGACAAACGGACGGGGACATATCCTTGGTAAGTAATCCTAAAAAAAATGTGAATGAAATTTGTTTAACAGATGCATATCGTCTCCCGTCGTAATATGGAAACATAAGGCAGTATATATAGTTTATTGTTATCTCAAATATAAAGTTTAAAGTGGAAAAACGACATCGATATATCAAAGATTAATTAAAGGGAGATAATCTAGTAAAAGAATGCTACTGTTCATTTTCCTGTTAGTGTCGTTGTTGTATACCCTGTTCTCGTGGATTGACCAAGATTTACATGGCGGGTATCGTCAATGAAGCAGAAGACAATCACTATTCCGGAACACCTGGTCTTATTCTCCTCGCACGTTTTCAGGATTCTCCTTGTTTCTTTTGTTAATATTTTGACCTTGTTTAATTGAATTGGAGTTTGAACTATGATTACGTTGTCATGTTGGTATTTTCTTGTTGGACTTACAGGTGATAGCTCTTCTGTATGCATTTAACTGTGTTTCTCAAACGAGACATAAGAATATCGTTTCGTCAAGAATCGTATAACGATAAACAGATGTAAAATCTATAGTGTGGTTATACATTGATGTAGTGGTCAGTTCCTAGTTGATCAAAGCTTGGTTAGAATTGATCAGTTTATCAAAATTTTGAACATTTTGACTCATTTGACAGCTGTAGATTTGTTGACATTCACTAACCTCTAGTTTACTCAACAAGGATTTGAGCAACTGAGACCTGAACACAGTAAACTTGGTTTTCATATATGGTTAGATTTGGTTGTGTATTTAGTTGATTCTTCCTTGTGGGTTGACATTAACATATAGATATGTATTATAACGTGTTATTGTACCTCTCAGGAACCAGCTACCTCAGTGGAATATGTACCCCTATGAGTACGTCTGTGATAGTGGATCACGGCTCCTACAATTCAGCCGGTATAGCAGCCCACGAGCTCGGCCATAAGTAAGTAGACATTTCACTCAGCTTCGTTCAAATTTTACATATATTTACATGTTTATTTGAGCTGCATGGGTACTACGTAAACGTGGCAAACTTCGATTGGTGTTATGGCAGTAGAAATCGCAGAGAATATGCAAACGAACGTGAGATAAACATGCAGTGAAAGTCACGTGGGATTCTCGCTTTCACGAAAATTATCGAAAAACTCCAAAATGTTATATAATGTTGTACAATTTCAAAGTACTGTCACCTTTAATATGTTAGATTCGAAAACCTACAAAATTGTTAATAATGCTGTTCAATTCCAAAATACTGTCACCTTTATTATGTTATATTCGAAAACCTACAAAATGTTAAATAATGTTTAGTGTCCTTATACTGTCACCTTATCGTGTTGAATTCGGTTTTTGTTACAGTCTCGGTGTTATATACCACGATGGAGACTCTTCCGCCTTGACATTAGGATGTCCCAAAGAATTGAACTACATAATGGCTCCCTCATCCGCCATCATTAACAGCAAAACAAAAGAATACAGTTTTAAATTTTCAGATTGTTCTATCAGACAGATTGAACTACAAATGAAAAAGCTTTCAAATAGGTAATATAAACAAGGAATATTCTTTTAGAATTATTAGTTTTTTTTAATACCGTCTTGAGAATATCGGTCAGTAACAGAGCCAGAGTGACGCTGTTGTTTACTTCTGAAAGAAACACTAATAAATGATTATTAATTTAAAATTTAGAAGATTAGACGAATGTGGAATGAGAAATCATCAGTAATGGATTGTTAAACAGTATTTAACTGAAAATATTAAGATTAATGTCCTTTACAAGAAAATATAGATACAGTGCCCGTTAATTTACAGCATAACTCAAACTGCCAACATTATGTTATTTTAACACTTTTCAGATAAAAAGAATTACCAAACGAATTAATAACGAAATGCTCCAAGCTTACTTCATCAATCTAATTCATTGCTGACTTATATATATCTCTTTTACAGAAACCGTAACTGTTTGGCCGAGGACACTGGGCCGTCACTAGCTACTATCGTGGTAAAGCCTTACCTGATGATCCCACCGGGACAGATAGAAGACGTACACAACCAATGTAGAGACGTGTACGGAAATTCCTCCTTTATGTGTGTAAGTGAATACAGATTAAACACCAACACTAACAAGGTGTTAAAACAACTCTAAAATGTTCTCTAGGACTGAAAATCTTGATCAAAGTCTGACAGATCTAATTTATTAAACATTTTAACGCCCTCAAAGAGACAGGTGCTGTGAATTCTTTATATTCAACTGACAAGTCAGAGGATATAAACACGAAAGCAAACGTAATTCACTTATGGATAAAAAATACCACGTGACAATCATGTGTCTACAATAAACGTGAAACAAACCATTATTTCATACAATATTTTCAAACGAATGAAAACTGACTCGTCCAAAACATCATAATAAAAGCAACATAGGGCAACAACAACATAAGGTCCTCATGCGTTAGCGAAGACCTCCGACCTCTGAATAAAGATCAAAGCATGTTATAATGTGTTTCCAAATTTAAAATTAAGCAATATAATAAATTTCAGTACAAAATTACCTCTTATAAAAGTCTGTCTTTTGTTCATATTTCATTCTTCCAATATATACCAGTTTTTTCGTGATATACTCTGTTTCAATATTCTAGCTATTTCGTGTTATACTCTGTTTCAATATATACCAGCTTTTCCGTGTTGTACTCTATTATTATCCTTGTTTGCAGCCGCCTTCTTCGACGGAGGAAATGTGTTATAAGATGTATTGCTACGATCCAAAAAGGAAGATATGTATTACAGCAAGTGAACAGAGAGCAGCCATGGGCTCCTCTTGTGGAAATAAGAAGGTAGGGAAATATTGATAATATTATGGCATTATTTTGAGGACGATTCCGTTTAAATCTCAAATTGTCAATACTATTAGTAATAAAAGCGAAACAAATAATATCGGAAAACCTAAATCAACATTTTGTTTTTCCTTACTCTCCATATGTTAAATCAAAATTGTGACATTTATTGATTTGTTCGGATGAGAGCACCTTCCCATCTGTTGTGTTTATCTATTTATTTATTTATTTGCTTTGTTTTATTTTTTTTTGTCAATTTTGATTTTCCTCAGTCTATGTTTCAACAATTTATATCCTCGTGACAAGTTCTGGAAATATCTTTATTTTTCATACTGTATCAAATTCTGAATTAACATTGAAAGGTGTTATTCACATGTGTGTGTTTTATGTTATCTGTGGGTACTAATGTTAGGCATACAACCAGTTCTATCCATCAGGGATAATTTTAAAACGTTCGTACTGAATTATTAAACACGAAGTCAAACCTCGTTACGTCTTAGCCACCGCTGTGTTCGACTGATAGAAAATCCTAAACCTACTGTACAGGTGACACTTTTGTTACATAAAACATATGAAGGTGCGTGATAAATGTTGTCCAAGTAGTTTCTTTTACACTTTTTATTTATCAATATTGATTCTGATTTGGTTGATTCGTTTGACTGTCCATTTTATGAGATTACGATATGTTTCCTCGTTAGTTATCGTGTTGGTTCCGTTGGTGTATACTTTGTTCTCATTTGAGAACGTGACATGATTTACTTGTATGGCCAAGGTTTACATGGTCGTCGATGAAGCATTAGACGTTTACTCTTCCGGAACGCCTGGTCTTATTCTTCTCGTACATTTTTAGGAATCTCCGCGTAAAGCTTGGATTATGTGGACATGTTGGTACTTTTTGTCTTGAAAATATAGTCAACCAATTGACCATTTCATCTTAAACCTGAGACTACAATTTATACTAAGAGTGGTTATTTTCCATTTCAGATATCTTGATATCTTTATATTTTTGTTTTGTTCACTTCTTTCAGTGGTGTAAACTTGGGAAATGTGTTTGGGATGATAAAGCACCCTCAGTTCCAGGTAAGTCTAGTTTTAAGTAAATTCTCGTTAGTAACCTGACAGTTCCGTTGTTGTTCCCGTGTTCTCATTTGGAAACGTGACATTACTTAATTGGATTGACAAATATTTACACAGCGTGTGTTATCGATGAAGCAGAAAACGTTTACTCTTTCGGAACACCTGGTCTTATCCTCCTCGTACTTTTACAGAAATCTCTATAAAAGACGTTATTTTATTCATGTTTTACCCTTGTTTGATCAAATTTGATTTTGAATTTGATTCTGTCAACATGTCAGCACGTTCTTACATCAACATTGTCTGTTTTTGTTCCGTTAATGTTTTACTTGTCAAACTGTCTGTTTTTTGTACTTTGAAGTTTGGTTGGTTGATTGTTTGGATCCACTATATCTTATCTGAATTTGTACTTCCAAGTACTTTTCACTTGTGAGTCTTTTGTAGTATTGTACATACATCGTTTAACGTTTTAAAGTGTCTTACTTTTGAAGTAGTCGAGTGGCAGCGTTCATATAGCATTCACTTACACCAGATGAGTTGGGGGCTTAATTCTATTTTGAAATGTATCTTGTCAACTACCGATCGCCCGTGTCTTCTTCGGGAACTCTCTTATAAAATCCCCTATAAGATCATCCTATTAATTGACGGTGATTTATCAAATGTGACAAACCTCCTTAGATTTGTGATTTTCCTTTACAGCTGACTGCCCGTTCCCTGATGTACCGCCTTCCAGGACTAAATGTAGTGAAGAAGCGTCACCTTTCAGATGTAGAGACCCGAGTTTCTACAGACGGTGTTGCGAGTCGTGCAATAAAAGTAATTATCATACGTATTTATCAGATAAATCAGACTCTAATATCGTATGAGTTGTACGGTGGCTGATTGGCTGATTTTCCCGCGAAAAGACGAGAGTTATGGGCTGTTAATTCTCGTCTTTGAAGGGCTAAAAAACAAAAGGTTTGATTTGCCTTGTCTTTTGGAGATGAAAAAGACGAAAATAAAGGTAGCTAATTAGCGTGCATTCATTTTGATTTTTCGAGTATCATATGTCGTCTTTGGGGCCAAAATATAAGATTTAAAGTTTGTTAACTCTCATCTTTTCGCCGAGAAAAGACAAAAGAACGAGATTTAAGATTTGTTATTTCTTATGTTTTCGGGAGAAAACACGACACGAAATTTTTGAACTCGAAAATATGAGAGTTAAGACTGCATTTCGTCTTTTCGCCGTTTTGGCCAAAACTCGAGAATTAAGGTTTTTTATATTCTTGTCTTTTCGGGGCGAACAGACGAATGGAAGATCATTTAGATTTTAAATTCCTGAAATGGCATCAATCGGCAACCATAGTATATGGATTCCACCGAAGAAACAGATTTAGCTTGCGCATTCCAATAACGATATTTTCATGACAGTCTACCATTGTCTCTAAATACTAAAAGTTATGAAACTCGTCCTATTTTCATGATCATTTCAAAGTTTAAAACACACACAAAAAAAAAAAAAAAAAACGGATTGAAATAATTACTTGATATTACAAGGACAAATATGCATTGAAGAATGTTTGCCAATGACATCTTCCCTCCTTACGTGTTAGCGTACGTTTGAGCGGGTCATCAAGGCTTTTTTCTGTTTTGCAGACTTTACGAAGGAAGAATCCTGCAAAGACATGAAGATTCTCATAAACGGATTACAATGTGGACAATTTATACAACGATATGGAACAGACATTTGTACTCTGGACCCTAATGTAATGAACTTTTGTTGTAAAAGCTGTTCAAATCCACCAGGTAACAATTTATTAACTTTGATATACATGTCATCTAATAGTATATTTCATATGGTCTGGTATAGTCTTTTATTGATATCAAAAGTTTCCCCCGGACATGATGAAATATAACAATTATTCATCATGAAACAAAAATCTCATTAGTACAAATAAGAATTGAACACAGTATTGTCATATGATAAATTCGACAACATTTATCTTTTGATTCGTCCTTCGTCATGTCTTCAGTGATACCATGTGACCTACAATGTCGATATGTAGACATGGACTTGACAAAATTCAAAATGGCCGAAGTAAACGCCGCAATTCCTTTCGTGTTAATATGTCTTGTAATTTGTATATTGGAATATTAAAGCACCTGGTAGTCCGAAAAAGACATCTTTCATTTTCATTGGTCTATATAAAAGGTTGCATGATGTCTTTCAAACATTGTGGAGCCAAGCCTCGAAGTATCTTAAACATTAATAATAGTTTATGTATTGAGGCCTATCAGAGAGAGATTCCCAATGAAGTTTTTGATACAATTTGTGATGGGAGGCGTTTCTGCGCAGTCCTGTAATGTATAGATGGTTTCAATAGACTGTAAAGTACATATGTATATTTTAATGTGTCCCTATTTGAATCAGATACATTTTAGCTCATTCTCTCTCTGTGTTTCAGCACCTACTGTATCTCCTATAGAAAATCACTCGTATTCCCACGTGACAGCATCAACATGTACGGATAACAACTTCGTTCGGATTAATGGGTTAGAGTGCCAAGACTTTATCTCTCAGAACGGACGACGTGTATGTGATAGAGATATGATAAACAAACACTGCTGTGCAAGTTGTTACCTGTTAAAAAGATAGCCTCGAACCCAGTGGAGTATGTTGTGTCAAACTTCAACAGTTTAACAATCATGAAATCAAGTTTCCAAGAAAAGGGCGCACACATAATCCAATCATTTGTGTGTATTGGTTGGAGTATTTGTGTATCAAAGAAACGTTTGTCATGGATACTATATGTCGTTACGGAGAAAAAGCTTGTTACAACTGACACTAGAAGGACGAGATAATTGATTAGTGTCGTTGTTGTACGGTGTTGTATGTTGTTGAATTGACAAAGCTTGAAACAACTGGGAAGCTGTACTTTCCTAGGCCCTTAATCTGATGCAGCTTGACACAGCCAAGTCCTTTGACATACAAGTTGATTTTGTTTATATTCCCTGCACGATTAGATGTTCTCCCAAGTTATAATCTGAAAAAAATTTGTCGATTTTGGGGACGATATCGTAAACGAATCCGTGTGTGACATGAAAACAAGACCAAAAGAAAAGGAGTACAGGAAGTGACCTGTACTGAAGGAGTCACCATGTGTGTATGTACACGGGGGTACCTGTAAAGACGAATTTTATCTTTATTTTTTTAAATATTCATGCACCCGTATAAACATTATCAGCTTGTATTTGTAAATTTTGTATGATGCTACAAAGAGGGCAACTCAGAAATAGATAGGTGTTGTCAATATCATAGCTGTTGTTTATGAGGCGATCATTTTCATGTATCATGGAATTACCTGGTTTATACCCCAATATTCCGTCATCGTCAAAATAAACAAATAAATAAACAAATAGTTCTGTAATAACATATGTTGATGACGGCTCAAATTTCGTGCTTAAAAAAAAAAAATAAGTGAATTCGCGGTTAATTGATAACATTGGAATAAATACATGGTAGGAACTCATTGAAATAAATACAAAGAAAATATCAAATACCCAAAACATATTTATTCAACAGCTCATGGTATATCACACTGGAAATGCCGTACCACGACATAGTAGTCATTTGTTGGTGATTAAGAAATCGATGTAAGCTTTGGGTAGAAATCAGCGTCGACCTATTTACAACAGCTTTGATCTTCTGTCCATTTCACAACCGCTCCTTTGTTCTATGTGCGAATCAACGAAAATCCATTACTATATTAGTCCACTAAGATGTGTTATTTGTAGTCTGGTTTTCATGAACAGATATCATGAGAGTATTATTTGTGTGAAAAACACCTGTAATTATACTACAGTTTGGTTACTATGGTCAATGGTTCCGGAGTTTGTGTTTCCGAAGAACAATTTAATTGCTTAAATAGTCATACAATAAAAAAAGTTTATTGCGTCACGTGATGCCTCTATACACGTGTATTTTATAGAAATATTGTTTTTGTTTCCTGAAGGATCCAATCAATTGTCCAGATGATCTTTACAACAACCAATAAATGGTGGTTAGGATATGATACATATGTAGTATAATTTAGAACATGCTATCATTGTCTTGGTGATACTACTGTGTAATTCTACTGTTGGACATTAGCTATCAGCACGAGCCGATAATTGTCTCGTGCACAAAAGGAGTGCTCTTATTTTTATATTTGTCCTATTCGAATTTGAACTTATTCAGTTTATGTTAGAGTAAAAGAACAAATTCTGAATAAATCTACATATGTATGTAACATGTGACACGCAATGTGCTATAATATTAGTGTTTTATTTTTAGAAAACACGGACGGGAATTTTACATATCCTTGTTAGACGTTTTAATAAATACACAGTAGATATTTATAAAGTTCTGTTGAGGTCTTTGGAAAATATAAGTGAAACAAAGTCGCTTTCCAGATATATTTTGATATAACTAAGGTCAAATAAACACTAGATGTTTATATACTGTTGTACTTTTGTTCGTTATGTTGTTCTATATTACTGATTGTGTGAAAAACGTCCTAGTCTCGTCCCTTCATATATTAAAAAAATACTGCTGTCGAAAACTAAGTATTTCTGTACATCCACAGACATTTCAATGTCCACCGTGGAAATAATTATATGCTGTCGCACACTAAGTATTTTTGTACATATAAGGTTTTGTATTTATAACAAGTACACAGATATTCCAACGTCTACCCTGGAAATAAATGTGTGCACGAATTATTTTATTGAAATAAAAAAACAATTATATAAACAATCATTAATTTAATTCAAAGAGATGGTAGTGTTACGGTTCTAGAAGAGGAGTTGCCTTAAAATTTCTAACATATATCAATATACGAGCAATATCATGTTTAGCAAGAAGGTATAGAAGTATTATGAACCCGTGGTGGTATATAGATAATTATGAAAAACAGACACTGGAATATATATAATAACACCGATACTTAACAGGAATATTAACACAAACCCTGGCGTTCTTCAAGGCTATATGCTGTCACCTGCGATATTCCTTCTAGTATCTGAAACATACATCCATTGAACCACAAAATAATTTTAAGATACAATTTTTGTCGCTTCGATCACTAGTGCCATAGGTTATAATTTTATATGAAGATCTGATACATGTATTTAGGTAAACCAAAACACATAATACAACATATTGAATGACACATGATACAACACATTGAATGACACATAATACAACACATTGATCGACACATCCTACAACACATTGAACGACACATAATACAACACATTGAACGACACATAATACAACACATTGGACTACACATCCTACAACACTTTGAACGACACATAATAAAACACTTTGAACGACACATAACACAACACATTGAACGACACATAATAAAACACTTTGAACGACACATAATAAAACACTTTGAACGACACATAACACAACACATTGAACGACACATAATAAAACACTTTGAACGACACATAATAAAACACTTTGAACGACACATAACACAACACATTGAACGACACATAATACAACACATTGGACGACACATAACACAACACATTGAACGACACATAATACAACACATTGAACAACACATAATACAATACATTGGACGACACATCCTACAACACATTGAACGACACATAATACAACACATTGAACGACACATCCTACAACACATTGAACGACACATTATAAAACACTTTGAACGGCACATCCTACAGCACTTTGAACGACACATAACACAACACATTGAACGACACATCCTACAACACTTTGAACGACACATAACACAACACATTGAACGACACATACTACAACACTTTGAACGACACATACTACAACATATTGAACGACACATAATACAACATATTGGACGACACATACTGCAACACTTTGAACGACACATAACACAACACATTGAACGACACATAATACAACATAATGAACGACACATGAAACAACATATTGAACGACACATGGTCCAACATATTGAACGACACATACTACACCATATTGAACGACACATAGTACAACATATTGAACGACACATAACACAACACATTGAACGACACATACTACAACATATTGAACGACACATGATACAAGATATTGAACGACACATGCTAAAACATATTGAACGACACATATATGCAATAGAGATGTTGGCTGATAGCTTTTACTTTGAAGGATATATAACACCAACGCAATCCGCATTTGGTGTCTGTGCCTGATACATTGTTTTAAGGCTGTATGCTAGATTCTCTCTGTGATGCTACATGGCTTTATCTACCGATTGATCCCCGAATAAATTAGATTAGAACAATCTAAACAATGGTGTTTTTCTTTCTTTTTTATCCATTATATCAACCATGACGAGAAAAAGACGCCAAAACAAAAACAACATCATGCATGAGTGACCACGTTTAGGCAGTTTCTGAGACCCTTTATTGATACAAACCACCAACAACGACATTTACATCTTCTTTTCGCTGTCATGATGTGGTATATGTTTGGTACTTCGATGCTGTTGGTTCCGAGTGTAAAGAAAATTATTTCGAATGCCAAACAGTATCGACAAACTATCGAATATAAAAGAATATTCTTTCTTACATTACTAATAGAACTCAAGATATTTCTGTTGTTTTAAAAAAACCACACAAACAAACAAACACAAATTCTGTTTACACTAAATACTCTCACACAATAAAAAAAATGGATTCATTTTAATTTCTACAAAACATCCGGCGATAAAGCATTATCCGGAAACCTTACTAACATATTAAGTTAGAAGTGAGAATACTAAAACACAACAAAGACTCAGATGTGTTATTATTATATAATTCTCAATCAGCATTGGTCAGTATTGCTGTCAGTATAGGTCACAAGGGTATCAATATCTCGTCTAGATTTTGATAAAGTTTATCATGACAAGGTGCGAAATATAGATTTATCAAATCATCTTAATTGATAGAAATAAATCAAACAGATATTAAACGAACTATATATCTAAAGTGAGCCAATTCCTATCTCACTCTCCCCATCCCCAAATACCACGTGAAAATATTCGGCGCATCGTAAGCTGAAACTCGAAATCGATGAAACGATGGGAAAATGTGAACAAAAGAAGATGTTCACGAAAAAAATGAAACCGTACATTTACAAATCAAGACCATGAGTTCCGGAAGGGTAAGTATATCATTCTTCAGTGACGACATCTGCCAAATAAATCTTAGCCGATCCAAGTAATTAATGTCATGTTCCCAAACTAAAACAATGTCACTTTCCGAAAAAAAATTCACTGACTTCATCAATCTGTATCCCTCCAAACCCCGTATTGACGGACTACGCATAGGGGAAACAGGGTTCAGTTAAACCTAAAGAGGTGCTATGTCAAGCGTCTTTGTGTTGTATCCACACTATAATCAATTGATACAGGAATATATTTTCCACGCTGTTATTAATGAATTGTGGACAAATTTCATAAAAGTTGCACTCACTTTAGTGTATACAATTATTTAATCATCAATATCATCATATCTTAACATGCTAAGTGATGGTTAATTAATTGACAGTTTGTAGTATCTGTGATATAATATAACCCTAATATTTGTCGTTGTTTTAACTGATAATTATCTTTATTTTGTGTAAAGTTTACAGCAGATGCAGCATTCAC